TGGGTTCAGGTTTATAGATTTTGTTTGTAAGGCCCGGGGATTTAAACTACGGTTTAGAGCTATTAAGGCTTAGGGTCGATTCATAAAGTTTATGGGTCATGGTTGTGGAAGTCGACATTGCAAAGCGCTCCTGATGCAGCGATGCTGGGGTACCTCATATGATACGAGAAGAGAGACATATTATTTGATTGCAGCCTCGGTTCAATATGTGCTCGTTGCTTCAATGCATATGAAGCACAGAAATGAATCGAAAATTTGTGGGTAAAATGCACAGGAACCCCAAGAGGATGATGCCCAACATTGGTGTGTAGATGCTTACTATTCCGGAGTCTGTTTGTGGTTCCGGAGTCTGTTTCCAAAAATCCTGATATAAGACAGCTTGCTGGTATTTTGGGAGAATTGCGTCCTAATTTCTTTGATGCCTGTTTCGAGTTACCTATTCTTCCCAAACCCTAAACCCTAAACCCTAAGAGTTACCTATTCTTCACAAGTTCTCCTGTTCGGGGCACAGTCACAAGGCAGAGAAGGGCTCGGATGGGAAGCAAGAAGCCAACCCCAAATCCAAAGCCGCATACCTCAACCAACCCCTATTTAGGGTATAGGGTTTAGGGTTTATAAACCCTAAACTAACGGCTTTCGGTTTGGGAGTTTCGGTCCAAACCCATATTTCTTGTTTACAGCTCTTTCTGAAGCGATATGCCGGGCTTAGTATTGCGGGTTTGGAGATTGATTTAAGACAACAGGCCTTAACATGATATGTCAGGTGCTTAACTAATGCAATGTTTACTGTTTGAGGAAAGGTACCCTGAACCCTAAGCCCGAAATCCTAAGGCCCCTTCCCTAAAGACCCATTAGAAGCGCACGCCTGGCAAGTGTTATCTTGCTTTGAGGGCTTGCTGCTTAAGGATTGTCGTGTTAGGGTTCGGCGTGTGAGCTGGAGTCTAGATTTTTCGCCTGCGGTCAGTGTATATGCGGGGTGGTATTGTTGTTGGGAGGAGACTCAGAAGAAAATCGCGAAACAATGTAGCCCACCACAAATCAAAGACCCTTAGTCCCTAAACCCTAAACCCTTAGTCGTGTCGATCTGTGATAAATGTATCAGTGGCCTGCCAGGGTGTAGCGTTTAGGGACTAACCCTACACCCTAATGCCCGGATTCCTGAGCTACAGTTTAGGGTTTAGGGTGTAGGGGTTCAGGGGTTTAGGGGTTTAGGGGTTTAGGGTTTAGGGGTTTAGGGTTCAGGGGTTTAGGCGTTTAGGGTTTAGGGTGCTAGACCGAGGGCTATTCTGCCTTCTCGGCGCCGCGCCAAGCGGGAATCCTGGAAAGTTCCGCACGGCTTCAAAGGAATTCAGGCGCCGCGGCGGTGTGTTTGGCGTCCGGTTCTGGATTTCGGGGTGTCGGCTGCGCTTCAGGGTTCAGGGTTTACGGCATTTGTGCTCAAAGTTTAACCCTTCATGCCTTTACATATACATAGTAATAAGACTTGTTATTATCATTATGGTTATAATGATTATGGTTATGATTATGATTATGCTTCTTTTTGTCATTATGATTGGTTATGATTATGATGATGAAGATTTATGATTATGTTTATGATTGATGATTATGATGGGTATTATTATTACTACTATTGATATGTTTGTGATTATGATTCTGATTAGTAATATTACGAGTATTGTTATCCTTAT